CTGGGAACAATCATATAATCAGGTTGAAAATGTGTGACAGATATAAAAAGCAGAATACTTTAAGCGAAAGCTGCATTTCAGAAAGTGAAAAAAAAAAGCCATCTAATGCAATAAATCGCTCGTTTTTAATGTCAAAAAGAGGGTGCTAAAATATTACAAAGAACAGAGATGTGGTTTCTGAGACGAATGTTACGAATACCTTGAACGGCCACAATAATTAACAACGATTGCTTTAAAGAGGAAAATAAAAGTATATTTCAATAAACAACAATAAGAAAGAGAAATACACTTTTCTTTGGCCACATAATGAGAAGAGAGACACTGGAGAACATCGTGACAACTGGAAAGACCAGTGGAAAAAGGGGTAGATGCAGACCAAGAGAGATGATACTGGATGGACTAAAAAACGATGGTATGGAGGGATTTCATTAAGAGAGCTGTTCCAGTCAACTATAGATCGTGATCTGTGGAGACGCATGAGCGTCTACGCCAGTAGTCAGGGCACATGATGAATATGATATATCTATATACGTACATAGTTATATGTGTGTGTGTGTTTGTGTGTATATACCAGGGCAGCCTCATCACCATAAAGCTCGCAATCATTTCCTTTCTACCATTAAATTTTGCGCAATCATTATGTTATCACTGTTGGAATCCAAGAAGTGGCGAAAATATGGGAGTGTCTGCAGTCAAGCTAATACCAAGGCGTTCTAGCAAAACGTGACTAATAAAAGCTTAACGAAACGGGGAAGCAGAAAAAATGGCAAAAACAAAGCAAAACAAAAAATTTTCGGCCTATGGTTTTTTTTTTAAGAGTAGCGAACTACACAACCGTAACAAAGAGGAGAGTATTCAAATCTCTATGGGGTGACGTGCGTAACTAAAAAAAAAAAAAAAATTGTGACGTGGAGTAAACAAAATTAAACAATTTAAAATAAACGAAGGTTTAAAAAAAAAAAAAAAGAATAAAAATTACTACTATTGTTAATGTATAATAATAAAAATGGTAATTTTCGGAGTCTGTTACCCCTATAGACTCGGAAACTACTGAACCGATTGATTTCAAATTTTCACTCAACGTTGCCTTCTACTCAGTGAGTGTTTTTATGTCAGAAAATCGCACAAACCATGAACGACGTAGCTCCAGCAAATATCAAATCATTATTTTGTTTTGTTCCTGGCCCGGACTTGTTTTTAATTAATTGTCAATTTTTTACTGCTGAGCAGGGCTGCCAATAAGTTCCTTTTCCTCCGTGATCCAGATATTTATATGACGCATTGGGTTCACATTTTGCAGCGTTGTTTACATTGTTGTTTTAATATATCCTTTTCCCCCACAATATTTACTTACATAACAGTACATTGTCCGTGTCGTTCCTATGAATTTTACACTATTTATAATTCTTGGCCTTTTGTTTTCATGTTTTTTTTTTGGGTGTGTGTGTGTGTGTGTGTGTGTGTGTGTGTGCTTATGTTTTGCTTGGGTTTTTTGGTCACCTTAGCTTGGGTTTTCAAGTATACTATGTTTTTCCCTATTTTGTTTTGTATTTAAAAAAAAATACTTTGATGCATTGCAAATGGCGGCGGAGTTGACCTATCTTGACTGATCTACGCTCGTTATGCACACGACCAGCTCCTGACTGAATATTTGGACATGTAAAGACCTGAACATGAGACATTATTTTTTATTGAACTTTGCATTACTACATGAGTTTCTTGTAGCGTAGTTTTAAGTATTTCGCCTATCATGCAGGTGACTGGCGTTCGATTCACTGCTAGGTGATTTAATTTTTGTTAGTCCATAACTGGACCGCTGGCACGTTGTATTTTGGTTTATAGCTAGGCTGCAATATTTACACATTTCTTCGCTATGTTTTGGGAGAGACAGCTAGCCTGCGATAGCGGCGACATGATTATCAAAGGTCATATCACGGGTAATCTCTGTATCTGTGCAATTACTTATTAACCATATTAGACACTTGCACATCCTTTTTTCTTTCTTTTCCAGGTCACTATTCTGGGCCACAGCAACGCGTGGCCGGGTACTGCTAGAAAAAAAAATATAATAGTAGGGGAAAAAAGAGTAATAACATTTGCTTTTGTTACTTTTATTACTAATATTATATAGGCTCGTTCACTTGTCGTTGCTGATTGTGATAATGTCAGATTGACTAGTTCTACTCCTTGTGTGGCTCCATATATTTGTATCCTGTTTTCAGAATGTAGAGTTGGACTGTTCGGTAAAAACTGCCAGTCTTTGTGCAGTAAGACATGTGCATCACCAGAAGACGCATACGTGCCACCGTGCAACCATGTGACTGGAGCCTGTACTGTGGGATGTAAGCCTGGATCAAGTGGAAAGACCTGTGTTAGCAGTAAGTGTCTGTGTTTTCATTCTTATTGACTTTTGCCTACTGTAAACGTTTCCTGTTCTTTGGAAACACACAATTGCATGTCAAAACTCGCACCTAAGCACACATTTTTCTAGAATCGGTCTACGACGACAAGCAGAAAGTAAGGAACCTCATGTGTGTTTGTACGTTTTGGTTGTTGTTATTTTCCCTTAGGCTAAAAATGAGGGCATGCTCACAATAATAAATGTCAGCATTGTGTGAACGAGTCTATAACTCAATAACACCTGCACTGATCCGTTACAATAGAGGAAGTGAGGAGCATAAGTTGCAAAGGGAAATTAGCCAGACATTTTTAGACTGCAAATAAGTGCAGATTGCACTAGGCTGGTGTAAATGTAAGTGTGACCTAATTATAAATTCTATGGTTGTTGAACAGGGAATCTTGGCATCTAACTCGCTGCTCAGCTGTCCATAATACGATTTTTAAAATCTTCGCATGGCTTGGAAAACCATAAGTTAGCAGCCTGGACAGGTCAACGCGATGAATTAAATTATCGAAACAATTTCTTGTTGCGAGAAAAAAATGGACCTGTAGCAAACACATATGCACGTTTATGTGCTTCGCATAAAACGTGTGCAGTTGATGGAAGCACTGTTGGTTGAAGGGTTTAGAGAATCAGGGCACCGGGAAGTGGAGAGAGGGGTCTGGGAATGGCATATATTCAAAACAATGTTTTCCCGTACTGAATTTAGATAATGCGGACACAAACAATACATTGCACAATTTATTGCCGGGCATATATTCGCGGTATCTCGTCAGGTGCGTTACTACAAAGTTACATCAACAAAAAATGAAGCACAAAACTGAATAAATCCAAACGAAATGCGAATAGTTTCTTCCGACACAAGGTGTGTGCTTTTTTGGCTGCCGAAAGTTCACCATAGTCACGTGACTTCTGAAGATAAAACGGACTATTTCAACGAAGTCTATTTCCCAGCGACTAAGGTCCATTGCCCAATCAAGTTAACTGAATGACCACATACACCAACTAAACGACTGCTAAACAGAATGGTAAACAATGCATTAGGAATTGATATTATAGCGTTCGGGACACTCCCATAATCGCTCCGTCCCCGTTTACAGCAGCAACTGAGGAGTACTAATTCCGATGTTACCAGTAACTGTCCGAATAAAAAAAAAGAGAAGTAATATTACTTACAAAGAAAACTGACTCTCCAGCATGAACAGCAAAGTAAATAGGACAAACCTTTGGCATGAACTATATACATGTTAAAATGAATCGCATGACTTCCTTTTGCCCGCGTTCCAGCTTCACATTTTTTTGGTATGCTATAGTGTTAGCCAAACTACTGGACGTAAATTTGCCTAGAAAAACCACACAACAGCCAGTGCGCTGTTGGGGTTGGTTCTGCAACGTCCTGTAAAGGATACGTAACTAACCATATTGTTAGCAGTCCCTGAGTAAACTCCATCGCCGGAAAAGAAGAAAACAAACTTTTGCCGGTAGAGTGTGTACATCATTGTCTGTTATATATTCGCTCATACCATCCCCTTTCAAGCATTGAGGCCTTTCCCTGTCTTCCACATAGCACTTGACTGACAAGTTCCTGCCTAAAGATGTTCCTAGATGTTTTAGTGAATTCGGTCTTTTTACGCCAATAGATAGTGACAAAGCAATATACAAAGATATGTTTCTTTAATTTTTAAGCCTCCAGCCAATATGAACTCGAAACTATGAAATGTTCTGAGTTTTATGATGGTTGTAACACAAGGCATAAATGTTTCATGATAAATCTAAAATCACCTTGCTGAACTGATGTTTCCACTTACCGTTGTTCAAAGGAAACACAAATCCGTTCAGTGTGGAAACAAACAACACATTGAAAAATGTATTTTGTGTGCATTACTATAGAGCTACATCTCTTGCTGTATGTAAACAGAAAGAACTTATAATAAATGTTAAATTGACATCCTAATCATTAGGCAAATCTTGAATTTGGGTGCGGAGATACACAGTTTAGCCTGCAATGCAGGCTGTGTATTTGAGTGAAAATGATTCATTTGCGTGCTTTATAAAATTTTGATTAAATCTGGAGTAATACACATGCCAAAATACCATGGAATATCTCCTTCTTCTTCAGAATTCAGAGCCCTTGTAGTTCATTGCTGCAGATATCATACGCCTCCATTTATCTCGCCTTCTCTTTCCGGTTGGTGACACCAAGTGTTTGCAGATCTGTCTGGACAGTATCTCTCCATCGTCCTTCTCGGTCTGCCTCGTGGTCTATGGCCATTCATCTCCCTTATGTATACAGCTTTCACTTCTCTGTCATCTGACATTCTCCTCATTATGCCCCAACCATCTTAGTCTATTAGCTTGCCTGATGCCAGTTATCAATAGTGATTTGAAAACATTATGAATTTCGTTGTTGCTTTTCTTTCTCTATTCCCCGCTGTTTGCATCTGTCATGGGTCTAAAGATTCATCGTAAGACTCTGTTTTTGAAAACCGCGGAATAAACCAGGCAATACATTGTGCAATATATTTGATTATGCATTAATTTGAATTCCCGATAACTGTTGATCTGGTTTCATGTGTCTGTATCTTGTTTTAATCTGAAGCTACTGTAACAGATATTGTTGGACAGAGTGCAGTATACATTGTTAGTGTTTGCCTGATAATCGCCGCAATAGCATTTGCCTTCTACTGTCTGTGCAAGAGAACAAAAACACTACCAAGCGAAGAAAGAAAAGTTGCTTTAACCCTTCATACTGTCAAAAACGATACAGAAAGTATAGATTCATAA